TAGACGATAGATCTGATACCTTGTGAACGGAGAAGAACCATAACCGGTTTCATCAACTTGGTGAATCGCCAAGGGGTGGAAGAGAGACCAAAAGGGAGGCAAGTTAATTGCAAGAGATCTTGTTGCCAGAGGAACTGTAGAAAGGGGTGATGGGAAGATGCCACCGGAACTGTAAGGTGTGCATCTCTTAAATCAAAGTGGGAGAACCAATCTCCCTCACAGAAGAGGTCTCGAAGCATGTTTATGCCTTCCATTTTGAAATGACGATATACTATGAACTGATTTAAGTTTCTTAAATTGATGATAGGGCGAAGTTTGTTGGATTTCTTCCGGAACAGGAAAATATTACTGAGAAACCTGGGTGGGAATGGAGAATGTTTGATCGTACCCTTGTCTCTGAGATTGCAGAGTTCTGAGTGTAACATGGCTGTGTCCAATTGGGACATCCTTAGAGGGTTAGAAGAAAATTCTTGTAGTGTAGGACTGGCTCAATGCGCGCGCAGCTCCTGCCGCGCATGCAGCCGAAGAGGAGGAGGAGAGGAGGAGAGCTCCCCGCCCGGCGCTGGAGAAAGGTAAGATTTTAACCCCTTCCTCTCCACAGAGCCCGGCGGGAGGGGGACTATGAGGGTGGGGGCACCCTCAGGGCACTATAGTGCCAGGAAAACAAGTGTATTTTCTGGGCGTTCGACTGTCCAAGATGGCCGCTGCCACATGTTCGTTCATATGAACGACGACCACCCAGCCGACTGTTCGGGAGTTGGAAGTGTCTGCGGTTAACCACAATGTTAATGAGGGCAGAAAGGTTAATGAGAAGCACTCTTCCCTGCTGGGTGGCTGGCGATTCGGTAGTTTATTTGTATTTAGACAAATAAAAGCAGGGCCATATGGACAAAGGGCAAATACCGAACAAACAGACGAATCACGGTAATATGGTAATAATCCAAAGACAGAGAGGTCTGCCACAACCTACAAGTCGTGGATGAGTACTGCGCAGGGTATTCTTTTTTTTGTACCAGATTCAGTGGAGCGCTTAATTATGTGCATAAAATTTTATAGTACACCCACCCACAACTTACAATTAAAATATCAAATTGTAATATAAATAGTCCCAGACTCTTTATATTACTATTTGATATTTTAATTGTAAATTCTAATAAAGTATATACTTTTTAACGTTTATACTTTTATTTTATATATATATGTGTTTTTTTTTTACCATCAATGTTCATTCATTCTACAACTAACCCTAACCATACACACACACAGACTGCTGATTACACACACACACACACACACACACACACAGACTGCCGAGTCCATACACACACACACACACACACACACACACACACAGACTGCTGAGTCCATACACACACACACAGACTGCTGAGGTCCATACACACACACACACAGACTGCTGAGTCCATACACACACACACAGACTGCTGAGTCCATATACACACACACAGACTGCTGAGTCCATCACACACACACAGACTGCGAGTCCATACACACACACAGACTACCCGAGGTCCGCACACACACACACACAGACTGCCGGTCAAACACACACACACAGACTGCGAGGGTCAAACACACACACACACAGACTGCTGGGTCAAACACACCGCAGACTGCTGGGTCAAACTTACACACACACAATGAACTGCTGAGTCCAAACACACACACAGAGACTGCTGAGTCCAAACACACACACAGAGACTGCTGAGTCCACACACACACAGAGACTGCTGAGTCCAAACACACACACAGAGACTGCTGAGTCCACACACACACAGAGACTGCTGAGTCCACACACACAGACACACACACAGAGACTGCTGAGTCCACACACACAGACACACACACAGAGACTGCTGAGTCCAAACACACACACGGAGCTGCAGAGACCATACACACACACACACCTGCGCCAGACTGCTGAGACCCTTTACCCGCAGCGAGACTGCGAGACCATACACACACACCGCGCCAGACTGCCCGAGACCATACACACACCTGCATGGGCTACTTGCGAGACCATACACCTGCGCAGACTGCGAGACCACACCGCGCCAGACTGCCGAGGAGGAGGTCCAGCCCCCTGCGCGAGCTGCCGAGGTCCATACACACACCGCGCCAGACTGCGAGTCCTACCTGCACGCAGACTGCGAGTCCACACACACACACCGCGCCAGACTGCCGAGTCCACTACTACCTGCGCAGATTGCGAGTCCACACACACACACGCAGACTGCCGAGTCCATACACACACACGCAGACTGCCGAGTCCACACACACACACGCAGACTGCCGAGTCCACACACACACACGCAGACTGCCGAGTCCACACACACACACACAGAGACTGCCGAGTCCACACACACACAGACTGCTGAGCTCATACAAACACAGACAGAGACTGCTGAGTCCAAACACACACACACACACACACACATACTGCCGAGTCCATACACACACACACAGACTGACTGCTGAGCCCCCAGTGATGCCACTGCACTAAGGCCATTGTAATCAGAATTGACTCAACTGGGAGGCAAGCAGCAAATAAAGAGGAATTGGGAGGAGCCTTATAGCCAGTGGCGTACTAACAGGGGGCGGGGGTGGGCGGTCCGCCCTGGGTGCCACCAGGTAGGGGGGTGCCACCAGGGCTGGCCAGACTTGGGAGTCAGTGAGCTGTGTGGCTGCACCGGGTGCCATAGCAGCAGGGGCGCCGGGCAGCCGACACAGCTCACGCAGGGGCAGGGAATACAGCAGGAGACCTGCACTGAGATTTGGGGGCGGAGCCAGACTGGTCGTGGGGGCGGAGCCAAGCCGGATGTGGGGGCGGAGCTAAATGCAGCCTCATACTGCTGCACACAGAGCAGAAGCAGGAAGGAGTCCCTGCTTCCCCAACTACAGCACAGCACGGACTGAATCCGCTCCTCCTCCAGCCCAAGCTTACTGTAAGTTACAGAGTGTGTGCTGTGTGTAACTGTGATTGTGACAATCTTTGACTGTGTGTGTGATTGTCTGCTTGGGTGTGTGTGTTACTACCTGTGATTGTCTGTGTGATTGCCTGTGTGACTCTGACTGATTGATTGTGTTGTGTATGTATGACTGTCTGCCTGTGATTGTGTGTGTCACTGTCTGTGTGTGTGACTGTCTGCCTGTGATTGTGTGTGTTACTCTGTGTGACTGTCTGCCTGTGATTGTGGGTGGGTGTGTGTGTGTCACTGTGTGTGACTGTCTGCCTGTGTGATTGCCTGCGTATTTGACTGTCTGCCTGTAACTGTGTGTGGGACTGTGTGCATTTGACTGTGTCGGACGGTCTTCGCCCTGCAGTGAGCCGGCAGCCAGGATATGATGTCATCGCGGCCTCTGCGTCATTACAGGGCATACGTGCGAGAGATCCCAGCAGCAACCACTGACCACTGACCACCAGGGACTGAGGATCCACTCCACCCCTTCTAGAGCAAGGTAGGGAGGCTGGGTGGACCTCTTAATTATTAAATGTGTGTATGTATGTAATGTTTGTGTGTGTATGTGATTGTGTGTGGGTCAGTGATTGTGATTGTGTATCTCTGCGTATGTGTTTAGTAGATAGCTCCCTTATTTCCTGTTCTCAAATATTGCAATCCCACATAAAGATAACAAATAAAGGATTTATCTACTAAACAACTGAAAATAAGAGGCTTTTTTTTATCCTTTAGCTGTTTAGTAGATCATTCCCTGAATTGGTGCCCATATGTGAGATTTCCATATTTAAAGATACCAAATGAGGGTGCTGTTTAGCAGATAGCACCTTATTTGGTGTCCTTAAATATGGCAATCCCACAAAGGATAGCAAATGGAGTTATCTATTAAACAAAGATTGAAATTAAGAGGTGTCAGCCAGCCCATAACAAGAAATCTGGGTGGCTAATGTGAATTATATGCAAATGTGTAATCAGATGCCAGCATGCAGAACACAGCATGCTGGCATCAGACAGCCAATGGCAGCATATTACCCCATCCCCTAGTGAGAAGTTTTACTGCTCCACCTCCCCCTCCTGTTTTGACTGTGGTATCTTATGTGCCCCCCCCCCCCATATATATTGTTCCTAGAGTCACCACGATGTCTGCATGTGTGTCAATGTGTATCTGTGTGTGACTGTGTGTGTGTGTGTATGTCCGTGTATGTGTATATGTGCAGACATCTAAAAATCTCGCCAACACTACACACAAATACACTCTTGCATTTCAACATCAACACTACATACAAACCCCACCATTATAAATAACCATACCACTGCATTCAAATACCACACAACACACAAATGTATGCTTGCATTCAAACGCCAACACTACATACAAAAACATGCATACATTCACTCACATATACTCCATTCAAAAACACAAACACTGCTTAGTGCTAAATACATTAAAACATTTAGTTGTTTTTATATTTAAAGTTGAGGGGTGGGGGTGCCAAAAATAGGACCCGCCCCGGGTGCCAAATGCTCTAGGTACGCCCCTGCTTATAGCCACATATTACTGTCTTCTGATTGGTTGATTTTGTTTTTAATTGTTTAACTGTTTCTTTGCTGCTGGAAGGATTCAGTAAAGAAAGTAAAGCAAATATGAAGCCTCCTGTCTTGCTAAAAAAAATCATTTTTAAGGGGGCTAAGTGGATGCTATTGATCAACCTATATATTTCTGGTGTACATGCTATAGTGCCCTATTTTTGTTTCTGTTTTACATCTGTAGATATTCTAGCTGAGCTATAGCTATCCATTCTAGCTGAGTGGAGGAGAACCTTATGGAAATACAATCAATGGTAAGTAAAATTCAACATTACTGCACTTAGTAACAACTATAAAAAGGTTGATCCAGAAGTGTCATTGTCTGTCCAAAATTTTGACAAATGAGTGCTTGTGCAGTTTGAAGTATGGACTTGTATATAACTAAGGCAAAAAATATTTCATTATTTTTAGGTGACGCAAAAACACCACAACTACTTGTATGGAAAAAAATAGAAATCTTTATTTCTAGAAATGTGACAATCATTTTACAGTGAAAGTATCTCTATTGATTAAAAAAATTGAATTTCTTAAACAGGTTATACATAATCAGATTTGTAAATATTACACAACTGATCAAATTTTTTTTAAATCGAAGAATGTTTCATGTGCAGATGGTTTAATAAAGCCACGAGGATTGTTTAAAGAGAAAACATTGTGATGTATAATGAAGATTTATTGCACACTTTGATTATCTTACAAGATTGCAAGACATAGCACAAACCAATTTTGAAACATCTAGGCAACATATATACAGAGGTTTGTCCTTCTAGGTATACATACAAATAGCAAGAAACATTGTCTTGTAATATGTACTAATGTTCAACATCAGTAGCACTATATACAAAACAGCTTGACATCTCTTCAGTACAAAGTAGATTATGGGAGGATACACAAAAGCATGTGCTTAACTAAAACTACAACTTCTAGATTCAAAAAGGCTTGAATCGTAATATTTCTGCTTAAATACAGGCAAGTGGTTCATATTAGATTGTTCCCTGGGACAGAGTTTATATAAGAGCCAAATCCACCTGAGGAAAAACACACACACACACACACACCCACCACCACCACGCAAATCTATCTTTCATTAGGGTGACAGTTCATCTTCACTTTCAAAGTGATGTAACTTAATATAAATATCCAAGATTTTAAGCATACTCTATGGGAGATCATTCTTGGTGGAGTCAAATGCACTAATTATATTCAAAAAATCTCCCAAGCAGCACTTAATAACGAGAATCTGGCAACAATTCGTACTGGTAAAACAAACACAATACTTCGAATAAGTCCGGTATTGCGAATAGTTGGAATAAAAACAAAAAATATGTATAAAGTATGGGCAGATTAATACAAATATAAAATGATAAAAACAAAGGCCAATCAAGTCCACTTGAAATAGGGAAATAGTCAGCCAAAGGTCTGTTTATTATTAGATATTAATATTGGTATTTTTAAGGCACCAAAACCATCTGCAGTCCTGTACAGCTTAGGGAAAAGAATGCACAATGTGCGCAGACAAATACAAAACGTGCAGATGTCCCAATGGATCAAAGATCATACTAACTGTAATCAATTTTTAGATTCCATACTTATTTCAAATAAACATGATTAATACCATATTAATGTACATCTAATAAGAAAGCACATACTTGACAATCTGTTGTAAAACCAATTAACTTCCATCGTCTGTCTAGTAAACAATCACATTCGGCTTTTGTCTATATTCAAAAGTATGACATCTTTGGGTATTTCTCTTAGTATAGATTTCCTTTAGAGATTAAAGAGGCTTACGTTGAAATGCACTTTTAAACGTTCTCAAAAAAATTCAATCCTAATCATAAAAGTTCAACATATAGTTCTATTTTGTTAATTATTTTTTTTTAAGGCAAGATGTTCCCATTTATATTGTCTTGTCTTCACACCAAAATTAATTTTAATTTTGGTGTGAAAAATGTATTATCCAGAGTCTGAATATAAAAAAACAACAAAAAAAAATACTGGCACAATAACTTTCATTTATTAAAAAAAACACACCATAGTGTAGCAGTGCAACAATTTAATAAAAAACCCAAAACCCAAAACTTACTTAGTAGTAAAAAAATAAAAAAAAACGAGTAAATCTGTCTTTTCCGGGAGAGGGATGAATTGTAAATAGATCTTTTTCTAATTGACTTTTGATAGTTTAGAATCCATACCTATCAATAGTATTGCCCACTATCTAAGCATAATATCAAAATGTATTTTTTTTGTTTTCTCTTCTAGCTGAAACCAAAATATAAACAAAAAACACATACGTGTCAATATACTAGAACCAGACCCAAGAAAATGACTTTGCCGTAAAGTGAAACTAAAGTGCTTTCTAAGTGTTTACTATCACTTGCATCTTGCTTGTGATCACTGGGGGGGAAAAAAGTGCTTAAGGGACTACTATAGAAATACAGACCACTTTATCTCAGTGAAGTGGTCTGGGTGCATTGGCACTATAGTTTTAGTCCTGCAATGTAAAACATTGCTGTTTTACAGAAATAGCAAGTACATTGCAGGGCTAAACACACCACTAGTGGGGGTCTTCCCGACCGCCACTATGGGGTGCTTCAGCTGGTATACCAGATGCAGGCTCTGTACTTCAGTCAATGCTTCTCATAGAGTGCATTTGATTGGTATATTGTGGTTTTTGCCGGACAAGTAACATCCAGTACTTCTCACAGAGAAGCATCGTGGATGAGAATCACAAGAAGGCAGATAATGTCAGCATGCCTACTAATGAAAAAAGAAGGGGAGCAGGTGGTTGCAAAGATAGGGTATCAGTGCTAGAAATGAGGCAAGTAACATATATTAAGCTTGCATATTTCTTTTGTCATAGTCCTGAAAAAATAATAATTAATTTAGGGACTATAGGTTTTCTATAATAAACTGAAACTGACATTTGATTCTGTGTCACCTATTTTTACCAATTTTAGTGGGTAGGTCGGTCTTATACTTTTTTTCCTTTTCAATTCTTTAAGTAGTGTCATGTAAAGAAGAAGTTAACAAGTTTAGGCTTGGTCGACATTTATAGTGTATATATTGCAAAAGTTAATGTATTTTAATAATGTAAAAAAACTAATTCAGAATGAGATTAACAGGGATGTTATGTTGTTTGATGGTTCACCAGATCAATATATCTATGTTCTCTGTGATCTTACGGATATTGGTGATACATTTGTGGATGCCAAGATTTCTACTCAAAAGAAAACTGTGGTATTGGGGCTAGGGGCTGAATGACATCCGTTTTCTAGTTTTATCCTGCACTCTACTGTTCCCATGGAGCCCACACTTTATTAAATTTGGATGATGTGTGTCTAACCTGAGCCATCAGTTTGTCCATTAGGTAGACATCTTTTATGTTTGAGAATTTGTGCACATATCTGGTTTATGCCATGACTGTGCCAATGTTTTGTGTGCTGCTAGAGCTAGGATGCTACCAGGCAATCCTTTAAAGGGTCTAGAAAGGCCCAGGGGCTCGGATCAATGTGTCTCTGCAGTAGATCGGCTATTATTTTATGTACAGCTTTCCATAATCCAATTACCCGTGGGCACTCTTACCACATATGAACATACGTATCCTTTTCCCCACACTTGTGCCAGCAACTATCAGTGTCGGTCTTTACCATGTGGTACAACTTAACCGGAATTGTGTACTAGCGGAACATTGTCTTGAATGATTGCTCTTGGAGCGTAACGCAAATTAAAGATCTGGCAAACACCTCCCCTATACTCTCCCATTCAATGCCCTTCAGCACCTCCCTCAGATTGACCTCCTATAGGTTTAGATATTTCATGTTCCCCCAATTCTCCGGATATAGAGCTTATATGTTGGTAAAGAACTGTGATTATACCCATTTGAGTGGCATAATTTCTCAAAGAAAGTAAGGGGAGTTTGGACTACTCTATTTACCACCTCCATTCTCACTAGGTCTCAGATTTGTATGTAATGGGAATAGTCGCTTGGAGTGAGATGTGTAGTGTTCTGTAATGTAAAGCTTTCTCTTGGTATGAATGCGGTTTTATACTTTTGTGCAGAACAGTAAATGAATATATTGTCAGCAGAACCTTGTCCCATGAATAATGAAACATAGTTTCCTTATACATGGCATATGGCTCTGTCTACTGATGATTAAGATGCCTACTGAGTGTACACAGGTACAAAGTATGAGGGACTATAGGTCTGATACAGTCTTACAGGAATTGGACTCACTTCAGTTTGTCCTGGCAATTTACATGCAAATCCAGCCATGTTTCACTTGCTTTACTGAATATGAGCATTTCTTTAGGTTTTGTCATTCTAGGCATTCTTACCACTTCATATTACTGCATCCTTTTAATCTTTCTTTTCCTTTTTTAATTTCCAATATTAACAACAACCCCTTTGCCCCCCTCCCCCAGAGCTTACTGGCAATATCATTTTTGGACAACTTCTGCATGTTGCACATACAACACACAGACACACACAATAACATGCAATATACTAACTTCTGACACCTTAGATAGGCTTGGTGAGTTTTTTTTATAATACACACACCTCAAAAATGTAATTGTCTAACTACATAAAGTACTCCCATTTTTATTTTATTTCTTTGTAAAGACATCTTTTCTAGGTGCTGAGGTCAAAGAAAAAAGAGAGAGAAAAAGGCTGATGGACATGTGTCACCACAAATTGAGTGCCCCTGCTGGACTACAAATCTCAAATATTCATTTTAAATGTACATCTAATGTAAGCTCAAGCTTAGTGCTCTAGATCAGCATCTCCCATTATGCTTGTAATGCATCAGGGGAGAGTAATCCACACCATATGGAGTGCCGTAGAAGGACTCTCTCTAATCTATATGATGCCCATATAATTTTGTGAATAGCGGGGCTTGCTTCAGTACAAAGAATGGAAGCGCTGAGGCTGGGCCTGGCTCTTGGTGGCCCCTAGTTAAGTTGTCAGACCTCTTAAACAGTTTGATTTCTTACTCTAGGAGCATACCAGGGCACTCCAGCCACCATAACCACTATGTGGTAATGATATTTGAAGGGTTCTTTTAAAAATATACTCTGGCCTGGCACAGGTTACCATATCTGTCCCTGCATCCCATCAAACAAGCCTCAATGCTAAGTTTTTGCTTTCCCCAGCCTCCACCACATCTTCCTCTCTTCTGTGATCTACCTTCTTGCACCAATGAAAATCCCTTTCTTCATACCCCTGTCTGGATCTCCACTTGTCCTTTCTTGTCTCCATCTCTCCAACCAATACATCTCTTTGCTATCCTATCCATGGTGATTAACAAAACATTTTAGTGGGTAATGAAAGACATAAAAAATGGGGTTAAAATCTTTTTGGTCCCTTGTTTCAGTCTGTTACACATTATGATCAATGTGCAGATTGCATAAAAAAAATAATTATGCTGTTTCTTTGGGTTTTTTGTTTAATACTTTGTTTTTTTCCCCCCATATAAAGTTATTCTTGCTCCAGAAGCCCACCCTTTCCGACTTTCCCTCAGAACTTGCAGAGTCCCCACTTTTGCCTGCCAACATTCTGCAAAACAAAATATTATGGTGATTACTGGGAGTTCAGCTGTTGGCTTTCTACTGAGTAAAAGCGAAACGACCAAACTACAACTCTGAAACCCTTGTGATCTAAAGTTGCTTATGGGGTAAGCTAAACCGTGCTATAGAAAGTTTGAGCATCATACATAATTGGTTCTGCCAGTTCCTGTTCTGAACATACAGCAGAAGAAGAATAGCTTGGTGATTTGCAGCAAATATGAAAATTTAGATTTTTGTTTTTATATTCATAGTGCATTATTTACGTACCACTTTAAAAAAAAAAATGGGTCAGTTTCAGGTTGAAATGTGCAGTTATGACTTCTAACTTTTGTATAACGCTAAAATGTTAATAGACATGTCTTTTCAGATATCTCCACCATAGTATTTTCGTGCTTTAGAAAGGAGAAAGAATTTAAGTCTGTTTCTCAGATCAAAAAGGTGGACCAAAGTAATCAATGATCTAAATAGTGCCATAAGAATTCACAACTCAAATAGTAAATTTTTGCTGTAACGCCCAGCCTTGTTGGTTCTCAACTGCTTAAGTGAGCTTGAGATTAAAAAATATAAAATAAATCCCTAGCGTGTTAATCTTGTCCACTGTTATTCATTTGTTTCCTAAGAGACCTTGGAGCGCACTTGCGTTTAGAAAACAGACTTCTGACAATTTGGCTAGTGATGTTTTCTGGTACATACATGAATATTAGATAAAGCAGCCAGATCCCTTTTCCTACATAATATTTTACTTTTGGATTCTCAGAGAGAACCGCATCTAGAATGCTGTTTGTTACGGGGCTGATGTCGGTGCAGGCGGTTTTTCCATATTCCAGAAACTGATTTACGGTGTCTGTAATATACTCCTCCCCGTATTCTTGCAGTAACTCTGTAGGTAACCTGGTCAGTAACTGTTGATTTTGACGTTCCCAGTAGGATGGGTTATAATGGGCACCTGCATTAGAAGAAGGAAAAAAAGTGACATTTAAGGATGATTTGATATTAAGGCAGATTAATATATCACAAGTAGCATTGAAGGGAAAATGTAGGCTTTTAGTTTCAGCACCTTTGTATTTGGCCCTCAGTATAGAAACAACAGATATAAAATGAGAAATGAAACAATGTTTCTGTTTATCCTTATTTGCAATCTGTTCCTGGGCTGAACTATAACTAGATTATGGTGTAATTTGCTAAATCTTTAATATAGGTTTAAAAGAAAAGTTACCGTTAATACAAGTTAAAGTAGTTTGCAATATTTTTTTAGTAGCATACTCTGTACCTAAAAGGGAAACTACACTTTTCTGTATAAACAAAACTGTAAGCAGAGATACTTTGTGTCGTTTTAAGCAGATTATAATTTCATCTGTATGAAGGAGCATTGAATAAAAATGCTCAAATGGCAGTAGTACTCAAATAAAATTAAAGGCATATTACAGGGTTAATGCTGCCTCTAGTGGATGTCTACTAGACAGCCACTAGATGTACTTTTGGTCACCTAACTGACACTGGACGTCATCACGCTCTGCTTGAGGACATCCAGGGTCACCAAAAACCCCAATAGGAATGCATTATACAATGCTTTTCTATTGGTGAAGTCCCAATGCGAGTGAGGCACTCGCAGTGTGTGCGGTCCCCTCCGCTGCCATCAGAGGAGGCGGAGCAAGAACCCGAACCGTGCCAAGGGACATTCCCGCTGGAATCAGGTGAGTGAATTTTTAACCCAGCACCACAGGGGTGGGGTGCTAAAGGGGTTAAAAACCTAGCACTATAGTTGCCCTTTTTTTTTTCAGTGTGTCAAAATTATTGGTGTCTGAGGCGGTCTATGATCTTCTGCACCCACTGTGCACTCGCCCCTTTGTCTAAATCCATGTCTTTCTGCAACTGATACTCTGACTGCTTCCAGAGTATGTCATTCAATGTCATACAGCAGACTAACAAAATACATCACAGGAGTAGCTGCAATACGCGCCAGTGGTTAGGGAATATACTGAAGAGACATATATTAGTAGTAGAAGGTAATGGGACACTACTGCCCAAACAAAATAATCAGTTTTTAGTAGACATACACCCCAAAAAGTGTGTGTGCGTATGTATGTATGTATGTATGTATGTATACACACACACGCGCGCGCACACACACACACACACGCATTTCCTTATCCATTTTTCATTGCGCTATATCTGAAAACTGCGTGCAAAAGCAGCTAATCTCGTCTGTGCCTTTCCAAGCATTCTTGTTCTTCCCCAGCCCAGACTTTCTGTGGCTGTTACAATCAAGTTAAATACTTTTCAGTGCCGCTCTATGGGAAGTCTTTGCATGGCAGGTGCTGTGAGCAATTGCTGCATCTTGAGTTTAGCGCCATTGAGCTAAACAACCAGAAAGTGACATAACAGTCTGACATTTTTGTTACTCCCTCTGGCTGTCATTTATAAACATGCCAATTTCTACTGAAATCTACAACCTCCACCCCTCCCCCTCCCATATTGTAAAAAGGGATTCTTCTTATATAAAGCACTTCAGCAAACTGCATTGCTTTAGGAGTCTGGAGTGTCCCTTTAGTGATTTTCCAGACCAAAATATCATTTTATAGAGGCTTGGAAAAAGAAAATATGATCAAACCTTATTGAAGAACCATGATCCATTTAATAAATAAATAATTAGTGATGTATTACAATGCTACCTGTAATCTATTCTAATGTGTAAAAAAAAAAAAGTCGCATAATATGATGTATCGTTGTCGTATTGATGTCCATGTTAATGGTTGTTTTGTGCTCTGGACGGAACAATTTTTTTATGTATATTGTAAATTTTTTATTTTATTTTTCTTTCTTTATTTTTTTTACGAAATCACTGGGACCACCTTATTTAGAACTGAGAAGTGGATAATAGGGGCATTTTAGATTTCTTTTTTTTTTTCCCCCCACAGAGTTTGAAAAGAATTTTATGCAAAGAATTGGGTCAATGAGAAACCTTCCTGATTTCTTTAAACGCGGGACCTGTAAGAGAAAAAGTACAAAAGAGTGGGGCGTTAAGTGGTTTGAGCATAACCATCTACCCTATATGGGGATGCGCAAGTCCAACCAATGTTAGGACATAAAAAAGGTTAAAAATAAATAAGTCACATAGCTGTGGGGGTAAATGGGGCATGTGAAGACTATAAAGTGTCAACTCACATGTATGTGAGCCTCAGAACGGACAGGCTCAAATCTCATCAGCATTAGTGCTGTCTGGTGGCACTATGCAATTTTAGATGTTTTAACACAGGTAAGTATTACTTTTTCTCGGTACATCCTTGGTGAGCATGGTTTGTTTCCTTGTCTGCAAAGTTATCATAAAGGGTTAGTGTACCTTTTTTTGTCTGTCCTTGCAGCAGTGGATCTATTCACTAAAGGGTTACTCACTTAGTTTATTGTAACAAAATTACCTGCCTGATTGCCCAGCTGATCACTGTAGGGGTAGCTTCTTTTTCAAAAATATATTGTGGAGCAAGGGCCTGTATCAGCCGCTTAAAGATCTCTCCTATCATTCCCTCGCAATTCACTTTCAGGAGGAACATAGTTCCATCACTCTACAATTCTTGCTTGCTACTAGGCAGGTAAATCCTGGATGGCTTGATTTGTTCGGGCACAGATTAATTGGCATTGGATTAGTTTGTACCAACCAAAATACATTTGTTTATTTGTCTAATAGGATGGCCATTTCTTGATTAAACTGTCAGGAAAGCAACCTTCTGCCCTTATCTTGTGCACATGCCCTGTAAGCCGTAAGAAAGGTATTGTATTTTTGTTAAAATGAATATTGGTGGGGGCGGAGCCGACTGTGGAATTGAGCAGACACGTTTCCCCGAGCTCCGAGCCTGGATTTCTCAAATAACGATATTAACTGTAAAAAAACTGACACCTGCCTGAGCCAACAACCCTCCACCAGTGGTGGGAAGGAGGAATAGGAAGGAAGAACAAAAAACCTAATGCT